TCATGAAAGAAAGAAAGAAAGAAAGAAAGAAAGAAAGAGAGAAAGAAAGAAAGAAAAAAGAAAGAAAGAAAAGAAGAAAGTTAATGAAAAGAGGAAATTACTAAAACAAGAACTGACAATTTGAAGAAAGAAAGAAAGAAAGAAAAGCAAGAAAAGAAAGTTAATTAATGAAAAGCGGAAATGACTAAAACGAAGAAAGGGTGATTTGAGGAAAGAAAAAAGAAAGAAAGAATTAAAAAAATGAATAAATGAAAACAAAGCAAAACTTGATATTAATAAAATGCAATCACTAAAATGAGAAAGAGCAATTTCATGACAAAAAGATAACAAAAGAGAGAGAGAGAGCGAGTAAGAAAACTATGAAGCAAAATGATATGGAAAAGAAAATCGCGCAAAATTAATGAAGTCATTTGCAAGAAAACAAGAGAAAAACTGAAAGTGAAAAATGTTCATATTTTTATTTTTATGAAACCTTTTGATAAATTGCGATTTATCGAGTTTTTCTTTGAATTTGTTACAGGTAAATTATTTATACTTAAAGGAAATGAAATAAAGATATAATTAATCTGTTATTTTCTCCAAACAGTTTTAGAGATTTTAATCGGTTGATAAACATCTCTTGTGGCTACTAATAGGCACATATTTTGATAGATAGATAGATAGATAGATAGATAGATAGATAGATAGATAGATAGATAGATAGATAGATAGATAGATAGGATAATGAACATAGATAGATAATTGACATAGATAGATAGATAGATAGATAGATAGATAGATAGATAGGATAATGAAAATAGATAATTGACATAGATAGATAGATAGATAGATAGATAGATAGATAGATAGATAGATAGATAGATAGGATAATGAAAATAGATAATTGACATAGATAGATAGATAGATAGATAGATAATGAACATACAAATAGATAGATAGATAGATAGATAGATAATGAACATACAGATAGATAGATAGATAGATAGATAGATAGATAGATAGATAGATAGATAGATAGATAGATAGATAGATACAGACATAGAACAGGAAATATAATGAACATACAGACATATATATATATATATATATAGTTAGATAGATAATGTACATACAGACATATATATTGATAGATAGATAGATAGATAATGAATATACATATATATATATATATATAGATAGATAGATAGATAGATAGATAGATAATGTACATACACTCATAGAACAAGATAGAAACATAATGAACATACGGACATATATATTTATAGATACATAGATAACTTCTATATAACTTCTATATTTTCAAATATAACGTTAATTTCTTTATATTCATCATTTAATCCTTCTTTATTTTGTTCATCACTTTCGTCCTTTCTGGGGGGGTTTATTTGCGCGATTCTCATATTTCTTCCCCCTCTTTCTTTTTTAGATTTTATTTTCTCTCGCTTCTTCATTTATATCTCCATCATTCCTTTCACTTTGCCTTCATTCGCAAAACTCTTTTTGCTGAGTTCATCCGTCATTTTATTCAACATTTTTCCAAATTTTTTTTTTTTTTTTTTTTTTCGGATGTCGGGGATGAGAATCCATTTAAATCATGTTCGCCAAAGCCTCTCCATCTGCAATAACGAATGCTCGGGCTGTCTGATTACAGCAATCGATTATTTTGGAACGAGAAATAAAAGGAAGACCTGTTTAAGGAAAATCTTTCCAAAAAGCTCTAGTTAAGATTAATAGGAACAGAAAAAAACAAAAGCATATATAGGAATCGATAGAAGTTTTATTAGGCTGATGCAAAACTTCCCGTCATTAATTATTACACACTTTTAGAGAAATCTTAGAAATAACTCTAAAATTTACTCAGCCTTCTTCTCAGAATATTACAGTCTCAAGCTTATTAAAATTTACTCATCTCTATGCTTGGAAAATGCATTTGTTTTAAATTTCTAATTACAGTTACTCGTTGTTATGTGTTTATTTAAATTTGTTTGTTCACAGACATTTTTATAAATTTACTAGACCACCTGTGATCGTTTGGGTCAATCCTGTTGTGTTTATTTTTTATATTTAGTTTCATAAAGAGTTTGGGAAAGTAGAGATATTTTTAAAGTACATTTATTTGCAGTTATTGAAGTTGCCTTCAACATTTAAAAAATGTTCGTTTGAAGAAAGTTGAACAATAAGAGTTTGGAATGTTAAAATTCGGAGTGTCGGGATTCCATAAAATAACATAAAATATTGTTACGGGGCTACGCATAATTCGGCCATTTAGAATAATCAAACGATTTTCATTGAAAGAATCAAATTCAGTAGAAAAGACAACATAGTTTCAACAAATGAACATTAATTTAATATAACGACAAGAATACAAGCAGTTCATCATAGATTGCAAACTAATGTCTTTTAAGTGTGGGTTAATAAAATTTTGAGATATACTATAAATTCTCTTCGTGTACGTATGTGAGAAACAATGAAATGTTATATGTGTGTTTGTGCGAAAAATTTAACACATTTGTGCGTGGTTCATAGTAAAGTGGACACAAGAGATAGATTTTGTTTCTTACTGTGGACGGTGTTGCCGTAGACTGAAGCGGTCTCTCTGAAGTTTACCAGCGCTGTTGCTTTTAGCATGAGGTCTTGATATTCACAAGCGAAGGTGGCGTGGATCTTGATGAGAGCTGTGCGTATCATGTTTGGGCCGGATTTCGTTTGTTTTACACACTTTCTCGTAAGAAAATTGGTTCCATCTCCACTTCCTACACGATAATTAATTTACGTCTTTCTTTTCCCAACTCTCTATATATGACTTGTTTTTTATTTTGCTTTTCCCCAATCTCTATATATGACTTCTGGCAAACACACAATATACAAAATTCACAGAGTTTTATATAATAATAAAATAAAAATATTTTCTATTTATTTCATTATCGAATGGTATTTAATAAATATTTCATTATAGTTGGTGTACATATATTTATAATATTATAAATATAAAATTATTCTTATAAATAAGCGATTTAATAAATAATTTGTGATTTATTTATCAATTCTCAAGAATAAAGAAAATGTATAAATCTGATGTCATATGTTTGGGTTTCATTAAAATTCGAAGTAATATATCCTAAATATCCACATTAAACTCCATATACTTCTTCTTGATTAATTGATTGGTTGATTTGTTTGTCTAACAGCATATCAACTATTTTACTTTACTAATATTTATAGCATATACATTATTCTGCTTTCACAATCGAATACATGGTAGATGATACTCAGCTTTTGTTCATATACATGTTTGTGTGGACATAATTACTAGAGGCGATGATATATGTTTTTGGGGTTGGTTTAGTTTGGTTTGTTTTGTTTTACAACATATCAACCTCAATGGATTATTGATTGGTTGATTTGTCTGTTTAACGGCATATCAACTCCTTATGGGTCATTTAATGCCGAAATTTAATTTGTTTGGAATCTTCGAAGGAATAACAATATAATGTGGTAAATAATGTTCAGCTTTTGTGTATATACATGTTTGTGTGGACATAATTACTAGAGGCGGTAATATGTATATTTTTTGTTGTAGTTTTCTATAAGTTATATTTTTGAATCCAGTTTGATTTCTTTAAGAAATTGTAGAATATCATATTAAATAATATCACGAAATAATTCTTTCATATTGGTTGTTTGGTTTTGTTTAGCGGTATATCAACACCTCTATGGGTTATTTAATGCCGAAATCTAAATATTTTGCAGGCAAATTTATACTTTAAACTACAAATATTTTTTACACAATTTTATACTTTCGGAGTAAAGGTAGGTTTTTTCTTATGTATTTTTTGGTATTGTTCATCAGAGTGGGCCTTGCAACAACAGCATTTAAGAGATGGCTCCTCGGTCCTCAAAATGTCCACTCTCCCGATCAGAGGTCTTGCAGCCAGATATAGTTTATCGTCATTTGCATGACGATAGTTCTTCTTCCTATGTCAATAAAACTAACTAATTTAGTAACACTCTACCTTGAGTGCCCTTTCGGGGTTGTATTGGGTGAACATTGAGTAATTAATATCCTGTTTTGTGTGTAAGTGCTTATCTATTTATTTGAGAAAGTAGGCGTAAATGAGAAAAATGTTGAATGAAAATATTCGCTGATATATGTCAATTTTATTAATTTGCCTCAAGCTCACAAAAATAAGAAGCAATATTTTACAAAAAAAAAAAATTAAAAAAAGAAGAAAAAATATATCAAATATTAGCGTGTGATTTAATATGAAAATTCATTGATTAATAAGATTCAATCGATTTTTCCCTCTATTTGAAACGCTAAAATCGAAAATATTCTATTGGGCCTCATTACACATATTTCCCAGGTTTACTGCTAGGAAAATATTTAAAGGATTATATTGGATTTTCTCCATTTTGGCACACACATACACACTCACGTCCCCTGCACATACGAAGATTTGTACAAATATAATACGTCGCAGAAATATACACGTACTCAAGCAGTAGAACCTTTTACAGATTCATTTAAATACTTAAACTTCAACAGCTAAATCAATAACTCCGTATCCCAACGATGAAAGAAATAATTTAGTTTCTGAAACAAAATATTTAATTTTCAGTATAATCCTTTAACATTAACGAGATTTTCTGAGGAATACTAACTAGATAGATTAAGTATTATACAATGTAAATTGCAGATCAAACATCAGTTCATAAATGTGTGCTGGATATTTTATTTCTTGTTTTAAATTCACATACACAAACCTCTCTCTCCCTGTCCCTCTCTCTCTCTCTCTCTCTATATATATATATATATATATATATATATATATATATATATAAGAAAAAGAAATTGAAAATGATAGTTGAGCTTTTAAGAATATTTATTTACAGTAACCAGTAACTTCACAGGTTTCAATGAAGCGTGTGGCAATGCTGTGATATGTATCACATCTGATACATATATATATATATATATATATATATATATATATATATATATATATATATATATATATATATAAAGACTAGTCTCATTAAATAATTTAGACAAGTTTCGTCTATTTAAACTAACTGTACCAAATAACAAAAGTCACACTATTTGAAGACTACCAACACTAGCAACATCTAAAATGGATAGCACATGTAACTTGAAGAGAAATTAATGATATAATCAAGAGGTTGACATTCCACACAAGTTTAAATAAAAGGTTAGGTAGGAAACCGCCATCAATACTGGAAAGAGTGATAACAGCTACTGGACTTGAGAAGAGAAAATAATAACATAGTCAAGATGTTGACATTCTACACTACTTCATATAAAAGGTTAGAAAGGAAACCGCCATCAATACTGGAAAGAGTGATAACAGCTACCGGACTTGAGAAGAGAAAATAATGACATAGTCAAGATGTTGACATTCTACACTACTGCATATAATAAAAGGTTAGAAAGGAAACCGCCATCAATACTGGAAAGAGCAGTAACAGCTACTGGAATGTAATAGAGAAAATAATGACACAATAAAGATCTTGACATTACTCACTACTTTAAATAAAAGCTTAGGAAGGAAAAAATCCCAATCAATATTAGAAAGAGTGATAACAGCTACCGGACTGGAGAAACCTGTTCTGCAAAATTGTTCGAAGATTAACATTTCATAGATTTCAACCAAAAGAATACCAGTTGCTCGGTCATAGAATGTCAAATGTTTCCTTATGGGCTAATCTTACCATTCCTATTATCATACGGAAATCGTTAAACTAGGTATTTACTCTGTCTCCCCACTAAGACGAGTTGTGACATACGGTCTTTTTTAAGGTGGGGACCCGAGCGGGTACACACGGGACAGGAATAAAAATTGCTCGCAGCCCCTGCAACCGTCGGTTGCGCTGGCCTCGCTGCGAGCACTGATCCCTCTCTCTGGGGCAATGAGAGGACGCGGCCTCGGGCAGCTGTTTTCCAGGGCTAGACACCTCTCAGTATAATTTTCCTCGATTGTCACTCTGTCCTTCGACGGAGTCGCCCCTGAGTGTACTCTGC